ACATTTGACACATTTGACGAACCTGTGCTACTATTGAGATTTTTTTTAAAACCCAGTTATACTTTGCCCGACTCGGGAATCGAACCCGAGACATACATATTCCCCGACAGTCGCACTTGTGATCACTAGGCCAGCAAGGCAGTCATACAATCTTGTTCTAAAAGATGATGGCAACATACTTAAAGACAATTCCAGAAGGTGCAGGTATTTTTAATCAGGTACGTTATGAATTCCATGTAATACGGGTCGAATCTATGATCATACATTGGGTACAGTTTAAAACCTCAGGATATTACTGTAAAAATGTCTTAAAACTGATAAAAACCCCAATTAAATATTGCACGACTCGGGAATCGAACCCGAGACCCCATGCTCAGTATTGAAATTTCCGATCACTCGACTTATTATTTAGATAGTCAGGAATTCGAAAGGCTAAAATGCCTAAATGAATTAAAAGGCTGTTGTGTTCCTAAAAACACCTTCATCAACATCATCGTCATCATTAAATCTATATCATCATTATCCGGCAAATGCAGAACTGTTTAGAATGTTTAAGTTTATTAGCGAGTGCTTCTGCCTGATCTCTGATAAATATATTAGTTAGTCGGGTGTGCAGGACCCGCGGGAAGAGTAGGGGTGGTGAACTTTACATGCCTTCTCCTCATGGCTGGGAATGTTTATGTATTGATTTTTGGTTTATTTACAAAACGATATGAAAATATCCTGAAAATAAAATATACTACAGTTATTGTTATATTTATAGACATGGAGATGTATGTATATACATCTGTATCTGTATAGCGTATCTTACGACGCGCATCGCGACGTGCGCAATGAAATCGACGCCCCACGGTATCATGGCGTCACCAAACGTAACGATTCCATATCACAAAATACGCATTTGCATATTTTTCATTTCCTGAAACATAACAGACCATAAATTAGGTCTTAACATGCAATCAAAAATATCCGTAATCATTTTTCCTACTCAGATTTTGGCTACAAACGATATTTATTATCAGTTTCATCCATAAAATTAAGATGAAATCTCTTTGTTATCTCATTTGAATGAAGCGCCAAATGTTTCAGCGTCCTATAAAACAAACTTATGCTTTCGGGTAGCCAACATGTAAACGGTACCGATTTCTTTGTTCGCACCCCGTTTTACATCGAAACTAGCGCCTCTATAAACTGCATGAATAATTTGGTGGCTTAGGTTTAAAATCAATCAAAGCCCAGTGGCGACATCTACATCCGTCGCGCATGGCAACTAGGCAAGGGTCGCAACCCCACGCCGACCACAGATTATAAAATTAGGAAGTCATTGGCTTGCATCAACTAATACCTATATGGACACAGCATCTTTGAGGGTTTCGAGAGGATTCAACACTTAGTTATGAAACTCTGGTTCAGTAATACCTGACTCGAGGGTAGGGCTAAGAATTATTACGGTTTTCCATTTTCAAAACTCTCTGTTGCAGTCCTGATTCTGTAGTTTGGCCCTATAAGTATGTAGAAATAAGCACGCTCTTTTACGGCACGGTTTATAATAAAACTGTTAAAACCGAGTGTTAGGTACATATTAAAATGCACACTTCTGTCAGAATAAGCAGAACTTATGTATCACATTCAGACAACCGTTATGTTTGATTTGTATAAAGTAGTTATATACCAAGAAAATTAAAAAAAAATTCTTATAAATAAAACTTTAATATTGTAAATGTTTTTGGTAATAATTTGTAACACCATTATATTTGTAATTTGTGATGCGGCAATAAGAGCTAGTTTCACCGCTTTTATATAAGTTAGGTAAAGACTAGCATATAAGTATATTTAAGTTTATTTGGTGGTTACCAAAGCCAGGTTTACGGGTTCACATGTTTGGTAAGTTTTGTTAAGAAAACTCAGTTAAACTTTAAGTTACTCATAATCCGTTGTCTGTGGCAAACATTGAAGATCATAAGCAGGTTAAAATTTCAATAGTTGTAGCATAAGTAGGCTTCGGGTATAAATCTCATTCATCTGAGTTCAGCCTCTCAAGCATGATTGTGTGGTTCATACGGTCTAGTCGTTTTTGTTCTGGGGATTCATCGTCCGTCGTCAGCTAAGCGAAGAACCACAAATCGCGTCCTTATTTTGGCAATTTCTAAGCTGTTTCGTATCCTTTCTTATAATATTATCAAAATATGCGATATTTCAAAGTTTCTAACCACATTTCGGTTGACTATAGTTGAGGGTGATTAATTGTAGCAGGATAGTTTAAATACTTTTATCATGGTTTTTATTAAATCACATAAAGTTGCTTTTCCATGATTTATGAGTGTTTATTCATTCTGTCCTTTTTTCGTTATCGTAGGAATTTTAAACAATTGTGTTGTAGTACTTTCCCAAACAGCTCAAGGAATCTTTAAGCCAAATTTTGAAGTTCTATGACCGGTAATATCTATTATCTATCACTGATGAATTTCATACTGATGTCAATTGCTGTTTAAATGAGACCCAGATTTTAATAATGGTTATCTTTCCGTATATATATCTTACAATATAATATTTATTTCCTTTGATCAGCCACGGACGACCGGTAAAGGATAACATCGTGAGGAAATATATTATAATCTCTAATTATAAGTGTGAAACTGCCAACCCGCATTAAGTAAGCGTGGTGATTAATTCTCAAACCTTTTCCGAACGAGAAGAGTCCTTTGGTCATCAGTGGTTGCTTATAGCATGTTGATGATGTCATCCTAAAGGATCGTCGTAGTAAACTAGGAACAGTTTCACGGTAATGAACTAGCACCATTTTTTCAGGTCGTAATCGTCTCTCAGCTCTTTCAGGGATGCTTCATATTTTTCTGCAGCCAGTTTTTTTCTGGAGTTCGTAAACAAACTGTTGCCACCTCATGGTTATTTCCATTTCTAAGACCGACTTCACGAGGGCATCGCCTTTATTCTTCACCCCTCGATGGCATGAAATCATTAGCAAAATCATAGCAATTAAAATAATTCCTCCAAGCTAAGGTTCTAACCCTTTATAAATAATCCTTTTCGAGTACCAGAATATCGATCGTGGAAAGGGGAACTAAGTACTCTTCAATTATTTTACTCATATAGGCCCTCCTATTATTTTACTCACATAGGTTTTAACCATCTGTTGGGTCACTCGAGTGGGCTGCTAAAACTGTTAATTACGTGTCCTTGGTAAGTTGAGTCACCATCTGCAAAAAAATACAAAGTTATAGGGAGAATGTTCTAAATTAATATTTGTGAAATAATTCAAAGCAATATTGAAGCCATTGAAGCCACGTGGTCTTCTTTAAGCTTAAAAAACGTTCTACTACGGTGGGAAGCTGTTACGAGTATAATCCTTTATTATGACGCGAGACACTACATTAATAATCTCGAATTTTGTCTTAGGCGAGACACTTTGCCGTGCAATAAATATTTCGTGAAATAATAATTAAACATTCGCATTCGCATTTACTAAAACTTTCATTGGCATGATTATGTAGTATATCAATATAATGCGTAACATATTACCAAGTATTATAAACGTTAATGGGATCTAGCTCCAAATACCCAACCTCATTCAGGAGTTAACTATTCATTGGTACAATGAGAATTTATTTACACCAGAGGAAGTTACCACATTTAATATATAGTAGTTGTATTAGATTCTATTTTAGGCGTTTTATGAAAGGACTAAGGAGATTACAAATTTTACCAGAGACCGGGAAACAAGCCGTGTTCTCTAATTAAACGATAATCTCCAATCCACGTGCCTCACTTTCCCTTTTTCTGATGAAGATGTTCTTAATCAAGTGGTAGACTGTTACGGGCTGCTGATGTTAAGGTTTACATGTGAGCTGCTTTAACCAAATGCATTTCATATTTATTATAGATATGGTACAATTTCGAACTATATTTAACTTTATTCGTTGATAGTTTTTAACATTGTCAATAAAGAAGAGTGAAATTCGTCAACGTTACTACCACCACTTTTGTGCTAACCTTTTGAATGAAGTCACAAATTAGTTTAAATGTTTCAGAATTACCTATATGAAAAATATTGTGCTATACATTTTTATATGTATTTTTTTAAGGGGGGAAAATCAGCGAATAATTTCACCCGCCTGAGTGAGGCGGGAGTGTCATACTCTTACTGACTAAAAACAACCCCGTTCCTACTCCTGCACTTCGAGCGGGAAGCTCGGGTAACCAGTTAGGTTCTCCGCGACTCCTTATCAGCATCAGCCCTATTGGGCCCCATGCGACTTCTCCCGCCTGAGTGAGGCGGGAGGGAGTGTCAGACTTTTACTGACTAAAAACTACCCCGTTCCTACTGCACTTCGAGCCGGAGTACCGGTAACCCGTTAAGTAGCGATGGAGCACCTAGCTTCACTGACAGACGTATAAACAATTCAATTTTTGACGTTTCAAAAGAGCCTAATTAATTAATGCTTTGACTTTAAGATTATGCAAAAATCGTTATTCAATTCTAGATATTGATGCTCGACCAATTTAATAAAAGTTATGCTGTCTAAGGAATAATAAAGACCCATATTTAATTTAGACTAATAACTATTTATGAATGTCCGCAGACTGTGTAGGCAATAAACATGCCAAACATAAAGTTTTAGTCTATGGCGCCTCGATTTCTTCTCAGTACAACTTCTTTATTGATTTATGATATAAATAGCCAATGAAAGTATGTTCAGAGAAGTTTTTATTAGCGAATACGTTTTATTACGATATTTTCTTTACAATAAAATGACAAAATGGTTTATAAATACCGTAATTGGTTCACGCTTACATATTTCTACCAAATTTGATGATCAGATAGCCTGTGGCGCCAGTGTCGTTCTTGGATGAATCGGATACTATGAAATTGTATGACTTTTCATTAGTTCCAATTTTGCTCACCTGAACTGATATCTTGGTGAGGTGAAACTATACATTAATATTATAAGGATATGGAGCTACAGTACAACTGCGCGGACAGGGCATAAATCAATTGAAGAGGCGTCGCCGACGAGTCTGGTTGATTCGCTGTTGCTCTGTGTCTCTGTGCTAGTGAATTTCGCCATCTTCAAAATGGACGTTAATTTATCTGGTAAGTAAAACTTAAATTAATTTTATCTTAGGGCATATACACTGTGAGTTATGTAAACGATTATTGAGAGTCCATAGGGTTTTGATCTCGACGGCTGTGTCATGGCGATGGTTGATTTCTTTGTCTTTGTTGTTGACTGGTGATGCTAAACTCGATGCTTGCGTTCGAAGATATTTGGAATGCGACCGAGACAAGTGTTGTGTTTTTGTGTTCAGTAATATTATTAGTATTAGTCTTTCGCCCGAATACTGAACAGCTATTCAATTTTAAGTTTTGCTTAAGTATCGTGCCATCTCTGTCATTAAGAATTTGCAGTGACAGAACTACATTTAAGAGCGACTTAATAATTGTGTGGCGGTTGAGTATTTTAGAGTTTGTTTCTAAATTGTGATTCAATTAGTGATTGGAAATTTATTGAAGCCCTGCGTGTTGAAATTCAGGAGCAGATGATAATTTAAGCCCTAGCAGCAACCCATTAAAATGCGATATGTGCGATATGTGCGTAGATAGGATTATATGCAACGGCCACTGGAAAATAACCATAAAAATAATGCACAACGTACCTACAGTAACACTGACTCTATATCCTCTCCTCTTTCACAACTTTTTATTATGTGTTTAATAATATTAGGAATTTGTAACTTTCCAGAAATTTTCAAAGTGGACGATTTAGATGTCCACTTGCGCCGGGAGGAAGTAGAGAAATTATTAGCCGAGAAAAGCGGCTCGGTTGTAGCTGTGGCGGGGAGTTATCTCAAGGACAAGAACACTATTGTCATCGCAGCGATCTGCAAGGAGCCCGACAACGTGACCCCTAAGAAGAATGACGTTATTCCTGGGTACTCCTACACTCCAGAGAAGCTGCAGGAGATTGCCAAACTTTTCGAGTCGAAGACTAAGGAGGTTAACGACTCGAGTAAGATAAAATACTTTACAAATCTTGAAGACACAAAGGAGTGGAAGGAATGCAAGCCTTCTGAGGTCCTCGAATCTCACAAGGAAGAGAAATATGAGTAATCATTTATCTACCTTGCATTCATGGGTCGCATGAAGTATCTTATGTATTCTGTGTGTGTGTACTTCTTCTCTATCTACCCCTTATATCGTGTATTTCCTATTCCAATGACAGAGTTAAAGTGTCACCTCAGATAATGAGGTCTTTGTACTGGTTTAGACAAGTAACATCTTTACATAATTATTTATGTAATCAAACTGTTCAATTAACTACATTTATTAACTCTGTCCCCAATCTTTCTACATTCTTGATGGAACGTCGGATCTTGATGTATGTGTGTTTAGTAATTAAGTGTGTGACATTTCTTTCTGGCATATCAGGCCAACGTACAAGACTTGTATTTATTTCAAATGAGTGGTATTTTTATATTCATTATTTTATATTGAGTTATTAACTCTACAGGGTCGAAAAGAAATTATTATAATTTAAGACCATTTTTCGTAATATTTTTAGATCAAAAACGAATTTTTGTTTTAGTTTAACCATGTATCAAGATGTACTCTTCACTTTTGACACTTTTATCAAATAAATCTTTCTAAATGTGATTGGTTTTATTGTGTACTACCTATTTCACAGTTATATTGCTACATGATAAATGTAGTTAATGATAAATTAACTGTAGTATGAATGATTTGTGAAAGTTCCTACTTTCATTTGGTATAGTAGAAGAGAGTGACGACTCATTTGTATCATATAATAATACATATGAGAAAATAAACATAGCTAATTTCTTTTTTATTAAATTCGTCGTACCTGTTTAACCTAATTAGACAGTCAAACTTTATAAAGTTTAACTCGTAATATATTACATATACACTTTATATTTAAATATACACACTACACGTCTGAATAATCAAAAAACACATCACTACACTATACAGAAGGGTGACAGTAGTCATAACATAGTAGATATAAATAATCAAATTATCTTAGTTAACAAATGAATAAACTTGGGTAAGCCAAGTTAAAACAAAGCCAACAGCCACTATCTCTTTTTAGTATTCCTGTGATCATGAACGTGCACGCGCGCTCGGCCCACAACCTCAACAGATCGGGAGGAAGAAGAAGCCTTTCCCGAGACCAAAACCTCAACTGACAGCAGACAGAAGCTTACCTAAGCCATCAAGACTATCCACAACAGCTACACCACTTACTAATGATCCGCTATGTTTAGACAGTCTCGGCCTAGAGGGGGAGAAAGGTCTTACTTCCGAGACAGTAGTTACAGACTTCAAAGCTCTCATCTCTCGCTCATTAAACATAATATAACAGAGTATAACGCATTATCAGATTGTGGCAGGCACGTGGCCAAGACTGTACCTGCCAGCGCTTATGCGTACTACACGTAGCCTTGGTAGCCCAGAAACACGGAAGAGCGAGCCCTGACCAAGAAGGGTTAATCCATTTCGTGAACGGCTATGATGCAGTAGTTGGGGCAGGAGCTGCCACATACTTATCAGGAATGGGTGATTTTACGGATGGCACAGGAGTGCACCATTATCTAGTCGTGGATGAACCTAATGAAGAAGGACTCTTCGGTGAACTAACTCATTTAAGTCACTGTGATTATGAATCACTTACTGCGCCGACGCTATCCATCATTCGCGTCCTTAGTGATATCGCCAACACACTCAACCGTGGAGGTAGTGGGACCAGTATTTTTTTTGAAAGCCTGACCTTAGGCCCTTTCAATAATATAGGGAGGTAAATAAATAACTATATTATTCTCATAATTAAGGGTACTTGTGATAGATATGATTTAGTACTACACTAGTTGTATATTCATTCACTTGTGTAGACAAGTAAACCTTATGCAAAAATAAATAAATAAGTAATTTAAATAATACATGTTTATGGGAACTATTATTGTGAGCTCTTTAAGTAATCAGAAAAATATTTTTGGAACTTTCTAAAATATGGACAGTGGCGACATCTCCTTATTTTAGCGAGCAACATTTATCTTCGTTCCAAAGTACACCTCCAGGGGTCCGTTTATGTTCATTTTGAAGCTACATGTCGTTCGCGGTTAGATGAGTCCTTTTTGGTCCAGTATCCGAGAGCAAAATTGCACTTGCGCACAAACTATGTGCATCAATCAATAACAGGATTTCAAGCCGCGTCGTTCGAGCGTCATTTTAGCCATCTTGCTGCCGATTCCGGGAATTATCTTCACTCTTGTGAAAATTTATTGAATTCGCAGTAAAAATGGGTATGTACATATACAATTTTTTATTCTTTTTTGTTATGATAGCAGTGGTATAAATGTTTTAGTGATATAGTGATACGAACTGGTGAGATGAATGTCTCAATTTTATTGTTCCTAATCTCAGTCTAAACAATGGAACACGTTAAAGAGATTCATTAGGGCTGTTTGTATTAATTTACAAATTAGAGTTTTAAAAAAATAATTCGTGTTTTATAGTTTCCAATAAAAGTTTATAATAAGTATTGGTTATTTGTAATTAGTGGCCGATAACGATTATCAGTGTATAAGTATATAATGAAAATATATCTTATTTAATTATTGTTCTCATTAGGTTTATGTAATTTACCTTTTTTGTATGTAACCATACATTACACACATTACTATGTGAACAATATTTTTAGACCTCTCAAAACAAGAAACGCTAATGTGATAATTGAATATAATATGTAAAATAATTAAAATTGATAAAAGGGAAATTGGAATTAAAATAATTAGGCTTAATCTTCGTTTCTTTGTTTTACATAGCAACACGTGGTTTATTATCACTACTTCATAAATTTCCAAAACAAACCCAACTATTACAAAGCGTTTTACACGTATATAGAGGTAGTTGTATATATATTATATATGTGTGTTGTGCGTGAATATTATGCAAAGCGATTACAGATTGTTTGTGGTCATGTTTAAGTCATTAACATATTCATATTTGGCCTAGGGTTTCACCTCGGATTGTGAGAATGTCGTCCAAAATCTTTATTTCGACCACTTAGAATTTGTCTCAAAATCGACATATCGTGGAAAATTGATTACCAAATATGTATAAGATATTTTAAATATTTATTGCAAATACTTTGTTTCTAATGATTTTTATGCCATTTCTATGTTTAAAAATATTGTAGAATCTTAAATTCTTTACAAATTTTGTCTAAAAACTTTTTTTATATGTTGCACTAATTTCGAGGTATAGGGCCGAGGAAATAAACTAGCGGCGGAATAAGTCAAATATGAAGTAGAAATCTCGGTATGAGAGATAACCAGTAGCAAAAAAATTGCAAAAAATCTATATTTTAACAACCTGTGGCTTATCTCAACACATATCATCTATTTTTATTTGTTGTCAATCTTTAGTCTTGACTGGTATTTCTATGTTTTGAATAATTAATGTAAATCAATAATACATAATAATTACTACACAAAGTAATGCAAAATATTAAATTTAACGTGGAAGTTAGGAGTAGTAGTTTTTTTATAAATATTATTGACCAGTATAGATTTATTCGATGCGTTTCTATTTACAAGCACAGGTTGACCGGAAATAATACTTTAAATAATTAAGAACGCCTGCTGCGCCTTCTATACCGAAAATAGTTCAAAATACAAGAAAAAAGCATAACACAAATAGAAGACAATTTAATTTTTTACTTAATTGCAGCAATAACATCACGCCTTTTATCCCCAAAAACGGTAGGCAGAGTTGCACATGGCACTTAGTGCCACTGTACAATGTAACATCCACTTTCCACTATTTATGTTATGAATTCCATGTTATAAGGGTGAGCCTGTTCTCATATACAGGTTACAATTTCAGACTGGAATCTAGGTAAAATAAATGAGATTTTTTTTAAATCACCTTAATGCTTTGCCTGATCCAGGAATCGAACCCGTGACCCCTTGCCCGGGGGTCGCACTTGCGACCACTCGGTCAAAAAAATATAAAAAGTATAAAACATTAAATATATATAAATAATTAACTATACTATTCTAATTGTTGTTAATAATATTATGAAATAAATTCTGAAACCACAGTTTATTGCATAATCAGTCTCAAGTACACATATTTACATAAATTTGAGATACGCCTTTTCGTGATTCGACGGACGATGTAATTGTTTCTTAAAGTGATAAGCAGAGGTCACGGATTTGGTTAGACTGAATAAATTGGTATTACAGAGTTTTGACATTCTATTTGATATGTAAATAATTCAAAACAAAGTGAACCAGTGAACAGAAAGTCATTAAAAATTTCGATATTCGGATATGATGCCTACAGACGCAATCGTGGTGGACATTTGAATGATATTCAATTCCACTTATAATTGTAATAGATCATGCTTTTAATAAAAAAAGCAGCTTGAAAAAGTTGCAAATAGGTTGTGTTTTATTTCAAAGAAGAATAAAATTAATATTTTAGTCAAGTCATTATTAGCCTAAACCCATAATGGCTTAAAATACAGACACACATAGATTACAATAATTTGATTACAGATTTGACTGGATTAATTAAGTACTTCGAAACTTTAAAAAGACGAGACAATTTATTACATTCCATTAACTTCCACCACTAAACATGTTTCAGATATGTCCCAGCATCAGATCAACATCAGTCGAAGGATCAGAACCCAGGAGTACGCGATGAAGTACAACAAAGACGCTGTGCAGGACGATGCTTTCAGCTACCGGAGTGACATCATCACTACGTCCCTGTACTGCGCATGTAAGGATTGCATCAAATTCTGTTGCTATAGGAAACCCATCAAGTGCATTGATCCCTACCTCATGGACATGAGGTACACATTCTGGATCTACAAGGGCCTGGTTAAGGCCAGTAAGACTACTACTGCTGCTGCCACGGCTGCCAGTACTTCTGAGGGCACGGCCACTGCTACTACCAGCAGTGAGGAGCCCAAACCAAAGCGCCGTAAGTGCTAAGCTGGGTTTTTATTTCAATTCACGGTGCAATGTGGTTTTACTAGTCGCGGCAGCAATGAGGTGTAAGGTCCGAAATACGTTTATTTGACTCATAGAATATTGGGGTACCAGATAGAACATGTGCTAACTGATTTTCGTGGCAAATTTACATACACTATTAACATTATTTATTTATAGATACCCAACATGTTGCTAAAATAATCCTGCTGTATTGCGATTACATAATACGATCGCTATTTTAATAAATATAAGAAAATCTTAGCGAATAACAACTTTATTTTGCAAACTACTGAGGCATCAAATTTTACGAGATTATGCCAATATGAAACTATGCGATATACATACCACAATAGAAAATGACGTAGATTTTTGATATTTTTACAAGATAATCTGGGATAGAATGTTCAGATTGTTTCATGTAAGACGTGGTTGCTAGAACATTTACATTAACAATTCGATGATAGATATGTCATCACTGCCTTAAGCTGTGACTTAGGTACCGCACTGTCCCGTGTTTACATTTTAATCTTATACCAAGTTTTTATTCTTAGGATGTTCCTTATAATAACACCAATTTAGAAATAAGTAATTGATACTCCTCTAGTCAGTATTACCTAGATATTATCAGGTTTTGTGATTACCTCTATACAGAGTTACCAAGTTTGTTTTTATATTAATAATGAATTGGTTTACTACTTATAACTTTACAATTTACATTTTGTTTTAGTATAATTGTTAAGTTTTTATTGTCATTTAATGGCCATTGTTTCAGTTTTAAGATTTGAATTATAACTTTAAGTTAAGATAATAGCTTGACGTTCGCTATTGAGTGGTTATGTTACGTTTATCTACATTTTTGATAGTGTTTAATGTTAAACACGATGACTTCCATTTTCAAATAGAATCCAGCATGATACATCGTACAGATATTGGCTGAGAGACCAGTCTATGATTATGTTTGGTACTTTTAAAATATATCTCCATTACTGTTCATTGATTGCGACCCCTTGTTGGTATCAAGGTCACTAAGAAGTGACCTTGAATTGGGGTCCAACCGTACCCTAACGAAGGGTGCGTATTGCGTAGTTGTTTCCATGGCATCGTTGGATAACAGATTGTTAAAAAACAACATTGTGAAATGTCGACAGATTTGTTTTAAGTTTTATAAAGGAGAAGCGAAATGATAACAACTAATATATATAACGTTATTGTAAGAAAATAGCCATAATAAACACGACACAGTCTAAATAGGAATGTTTCGATAAGTATTTCGAGTGCCACGAAATATATAATTTGTTAAATGGTTTTTTTAAATGGTTAGGAGAATATTGTAATTGAATTATTATAGGTAATAAGAATTCAATTAGAATATACTCTTTGTTTCAAACATAATGGACGGTAGTTTAGGGATATTCATCATCGGTACATTTCTATAATACACATTTTGATTTTAAAAATTTACAAATTACTTTATTAAATGCTCACCTCTGCCAAATGATACGATAAGATATAAATGAGACTATAAGTATTATGAACCTACGACGGGTGCTAGCTTATTTGTGAAGGTTTTTAATCTATGAATGTTTGTATGTGAGCGTGGTTTAATAATTATTTTTTTTGATAAGTTTTATGTTATGAAAATGTTATGATAATTCCATCTGGCGGTTGCCTCGATTTATTTATTATTAAGTATTGTTTTACTAGTGTAATTTAATTGTGAAACGCACAAGTGTTAGTGTAATCAATTACAAATATTAAAAACATGTTATAACAATCTTCTAGTTGAAGGCTTCATATAAATCAAAGAACAGAGTTATTTGTCATTTGAAGTATATTTTGGCCACATATTAATTCTTAAGAATTGTTGATTTGAGATCATTTAGTTGATAAGTGAGACATTCTTTAATGTCACTGTGATTTAATTTACATTTTAACGTATTTTTCATTATCTTAAATAATTAATAATTTAGGTAACCTGTAAATGTTTTAATGTACTATCTAGACATGGTACTTATGGTCCTTTTTAAGACCATTATTTCAAATGCGTTGGTATTTAACATCTGACGCTATTGAGGATTTTACTCAGCGTTTATATTATTGTAACAGAATTGCATAGTAACCAATATATTATGCCAATTATTATTTATTCCAATATTACCGGAAAAGCAAATGGCAATAGGTACGTACATATACAACCATTACACAATAAATTTCCCACTTTATTTTCTATTCCCTAGGATTCCCAAGGAAATAAATAGCGTAGTTTTCTAAATATTATACCATAAATTACTCAGTATTGTAAGAAGATTTAATAAACATGTAATCACTTTTAGACCCTTATACATTTAGGAACTGATTATTGTTCCTGTTTTATCTTATTGCATAATATAATATGCGTATACTTATGATACTCTCTAGTTGTGATATTTTTACTTCATTCATGTATTACGGCAATATATGTCCCTTTTAAATAATTTGTGTTTTACTGATCCTTTGTAAAATTTTACCATTCCACTAAACTATAACTGCGTTAATATTGATATGGCAATAATTAGAAGAATAAACCGGACTATGGTCTTTAATATTTATACGATAATACGACTGATTGACTTAAAACTGAGTTAATGAGATACAAGAAAGCACGTTTGACCATACCTGGAGCTACCATTGAAGGACTGTGTTTCTCGTGGCATTAGGGCAGACATCATTAATAACACACATCTCTGGTGATCAGGACCCTCCTTTTTAAAGAATTAAGAAATCGAGTGGCCCAGAAAGATAATTTGCCGGAAGTAGTCACTCATCTTATTAAAAATGATTCTAGTGTGAATCATTGTAATTATGAATATTATCATTCAGATGTAACCATTCATACATGAATTATTAAAAGGATATTGTAGTCCAACAAAAATAAACAAATGTTACGTTATGTGCAAATATTTATTACTTATAATTATAAAAAAAAAATATGATGTGGCCATTTTTCTGTTTCAGAACTTGAAAATTCATTAAATTTAATTATACACTTTTCTAAGCTTGAAATGGTACATGAAGAGAATATTCTTATATAATCTGGTCAGAAGGTTAGGAGACTAGGTAGGCTAGATTGTTGCACTTGTCTCCCTTCATATACAATAATAACCAATTGTTTCTGTCGTATATTCGACAAAATTACTGGTGGCAGAAACTTGTAGTGAATCAAAGTCTCAAGTTTTTCAGACACATGGCCAATAATGGGCCAATTACCTCAATCTAGAACTCAGCTGGGGTATCCATTTTTACCGGCCTCAATAAAGGAAGTAGTACTATATCCGAATAATTCTTTTTTGTATAATTACATTGATTATGCGTGACTAGTATTGGTGGTCAATCTAATAGGTCGTGGTTACACACTACTTTGAGGAAATAATTATTTGTCTAAGTTACATAAAGGCGGTGTTAAATTCACGCCCTCTTACTTCTCTTTCTTCGGACCCTAACGACTTTTCAGCACTTACTCCTTCTCACTTCTTCATTTCTTATCTATGCATGTATTTTGGATTTTTTACAAACCCCAATTTTTGGAACATTAAATATATAAAGGGGTTTTGACAATTTACTGATTTACTTTCAAAAACAACAAATTGAATTAATTATTCGAAGATTTGGATTTGTAGTTATCATGCCATTTTCTTTTGTTTTTAATTCAATTTAAATGTTTACATTGCCACATACTCATTCTTAAGAATTGTTGATTTAAGATCATTTTGTTGATAAGTGTGACAGTAGTGTGTAGCTATCATGCCATTTAGTTTTGGATTTAGTTCAATTTAAATGTAATTGATTCTTCGGCAATTTGTATATGTTCATAGAAAAACGCTTATTAGACATTTTAAACAGAATTATACAGGGTTTTGGTGCACCGTACGCCAAATTAGTTCTGCTAGCCCTTCAGGTTAATAGTCCTCATGCCCTGTGGTTTTAATGTCGACTTTTTATTGTTTTACTTAAGGCTTTGACTACGGACAGAAAACTGTTGAAAGTAAATCCTCCGCTAGCGTGGCCCATACGTTGTCCCCCATGGCGTTCAAGGTGTTAAAAACACTCAAATTTTACATTTAAATACAAATTTAAAAAAAAGTAAGGCAAAGCCTCTGGTTTTTAATTCTATTTGATATGTATTGCTCAAGAGTACTTTTGAATACAAAATGATTGACATTAATCTCCTAGGTTTGTTATAATTGAATGGCAAAGGTAATATTTAAATTAAAGTTGTAACATGTTACAGTTGTTTATATGGCTACAAAAAGAAAACCAAAAGCGCTGGGTTTTTCCAATTTCCTCATTAATTCTCCAGTCTACCTTCTTGCTAATGAGATAAGAGGATACACTGTAGAATCGATGAGAAAGTCGAAGATCCCAGTTGCTTTGCTTTCCATTTTATAGCCATATAAATAGGTGTAACATGTGTAGCTTTAACCTTTAACTTTTACCTTTGCAGTCAATTCAAATAAAACTAGATGATGAATATCACTCATTTTGTATTTAAAAGTACTCTTGAACAATATACATCAAAATAAAATATCTGTTGTCTGAAATTTTGATATACTTTTGAAATTTGTCATTGAATGGAAAATTTGGGAGCTTTTTAGTAAAACAAAAAAAAACGTCCGTTGAAGAATATCCACAGGGCATGAGGGGTCTTAAGTGGCCTGAAAGGCTAGCAGGTGATCCCTTCTGTCGACCATTTCAATTTGGCACACAATGCTCCAACAGCTCACCCATAGGACCCACTTAGTTTTTAGTCAAATTTCCGTGGTGCTTGGCGACTGGGCTTTATCCAGTTGTACAGTCTCTTCTTTGTGCCTTTAGGCTTAATTCATTCTGTCTCCTGCAGTAATTCACCGAGGGAAGTGAAAACCATAGTTTTTTCTTCTTCTCCTCTTATAATATCTTCTGATTCACTTCGTTGCGGGAACCAAGACTCATGTCCTTGGGACGCGCCGGACTTCAGTGTTCCGGTGTTTTCATGGTTGTATCTACTGTAGATCCTGGCTTACAGGAGTTGCAGCGGTTTTGGGAGGTTGTGGCGGGCTTGTCCCATTAAAAAAAAAACACAATGCACCAAAACACTCTGTGTATGAAATAAATTATTTTTGAAATCAGGATTTGAGGTTTGTACTGAGAAGTATATGT